GAGGGGGGAGCATGGGGGTATTCACACTTACGTTGAGCATAGAGGCGTCCCTTCGGAACTCCATGAGGTCCTCGCCCAGCTTGCTCTGGTTCTCATCCAGCACATCTGTCAGGCAGAGAGAGTGTCAGGCGCTCGGGCTCAAACCCGAAATGCGATCGGCCCGCGGCCACGTGAGCCGTGGGGGGGTTGGCTGCCTGCTGTGCTCGGCAGCCAGGATAGCAAGACACGAGCCTCCAGACACCAGCTCGCGTGCGTCTAGAGTACAGCTGTACAGTAAAGCGTAAGGTGAATAATAAGCCACAGGACTGTGAGGTGACGTCACACGTGGAGCAACCCAGTGCAAACCCAAGCCCTCCCCAAGCCCGTTACCAAATTTGAGCTCCAAGTTCTTCTCCAGCTGGTCCAGCTTCTCGGATAGCTTGCCCAGCATAGAGCGCAGGAAGGCGATGTCCTGGTCCTTCTGGGCCAGCGCCACCTGCATCTCGTGGAAACGGTCATCTGTCTGCTGGAGGAACTCCTTCAGGCCCTCAAACTTGCACATCTCCAGATGAGCCTCATATGTGTCCTGGTTGCCAATGAAGGTGCAGCTAAGGGAAAGAACGGGGGGGGGGGACGGGGGGTGAGGGACAGGCTCAGCCACGTCCGACTCTCCCGGCAAATCGGTCTCCTCAGCTCGCCACCCCGTACCCGTATTTGGAATGCGGGCACTTGATGTGCTCGCAGGCCTTCAGGTGAGCCTCCAGGTTCATGGTGAGCAGAGGCGGGCAGCTGGGGTTGTTGGGGCAGCGCACAGGGCGGTAATCGCAGCCGGCCTCGTGGTCCCTGGAGGAAGGCGAAGAGGAACTGCCTTAAATATCTGCGTTCTGCAGTCTGCACAGTGCTAAATGCGGTAGCCTTAAACAAATATGACAGGAACGATTAAGAATACAGCCAAAAAGAGAAAGGGATTCGTTTATTCCTCTAAAAATCAATCCTCGCATAAATGGATGAATTGGTGCACCTATAATAGGAGATCATGTGACCCTCGAAGGGCTGCCGACTCCTAGATAATGCCGTCTGATCCGCCCGAACCTATCAATAAGCATCAGTGCAATAGTTTGTAGATTCATCAGATAAATGACGGCCACAGGTTCTCACTTCCTGGCACTGAGTTTGATGGTGAAGGGGCAGCCGACAGGATCCACCTCGAAGGCGCCGGGTTTGCCGCTTGTTGCCGGCCGGCACCCGTACTTGCAGTGGATGAAGAGCTCGCCGATCTGCTCGGCGACGGCGATGTTATTCACCACCACGGTCAGCTTGGCGGTGTCCACCGGGCACTTCTCTGCGTCGGACACAGACACACACCTATAGTCGTGCCCGCGCCACGTCCAGACCGAGACGGTGAGCATTCGGGAAGCGAAAAGGGGCGAGCGACCAGGGTGGCGTGCCTACCTGAGGTCAGGGCGCATCGGCGGCAGAACGTGTGCTGCAACACAGAGCGAGAGGGGCAGGGTTACAGGCGGAAACAACCAGGAGCGGCACCACCTACTGGGGGCTGCCGCCCGAGCAACGTCCGCGGATGAGTTAAGATACACTGAACTTCGAAGCACCTGCTTCAAGAGGAAGCGCCGTGAACTGCAGGAAGCGTCCGAAAGAGAGGCTAGGACTCCCCCCCCCCCCCCCCACCCCACCCCACAGACAGGGCATGCACAATTACAGCTCGCAGACTGACATCTGATTAATAATGTATACCATTTCCCACCCCACCCCACAGACAGGAAAGAGAAAGCCTCGTGTCTGCAGCACTGATGGGGAGGTGCTTCCACGGAGGACCACTCACCCCACAGGTGGTGATGACCGGGTCCTTGAACACACTGCAGCAGAGCTGACAGCACAGCTTGACAGAGGGCTGCTCCGCAAACACCTGTGGCTCCTTGGGGGGTGCGAGAGGCACTGAGTCACAGACATGAAGCAGCGGTACAAAAAAAAAACACCAAACAAATTAACACCGAGTCCCCCCGCCGCCGCCTGCTCAGTGGTACAGTCCAGTTCCTTCTCCACCACACATCAGCCCATGGAGGCCGCCAGTGACATCACACAGGACAAGACCATTCTTTCGAAAGTGAAACTCAGACGTTCCCAATGCCCTAATCCTCAGCAACAGATACCAGAGAGAGCTGATTGCTTGCAAAAACGCCAGGTTTGTGACAGAATCTGAGAACTTCTCACGTGGAAATGTCTCCAGGTTTACCATACTTTAATGGCTCAGCATGCTTCACGCTAAATCTAAAGCAATGACAGGATACTATCAAAGCTGCTGGCAGCAAACCAAAGATGCAGGGACTTCCCTCCGTTCTCCCATAACAGCACCCAGGACTAATGCCACACGACGCACACAGCCACACGTAACACAAAAGAGCGGCTCACCGTGTCCTCCTCCTCTTCATGCAGGGAGAAGGTGGAGCGCAACGACATGTTTGACTCGGAGTGCAGGGAGCGCACGGACATGGCAGAGTCTGAGCGGCGCGGCGTGCTGATGGGAGGCTGGAAGAGAGAGTGTGGTGGGGGGGGGGGGGGGGGTGTGAGATTGTCCTCCACCTGTAGGGGGAGCTCTGCCCTGCCGACATTCATTATTAACATGTCATTCAATCAGAATGTAAGGGCCAAAGCTTATCACGAATACAAATATAAGCGGCCAACCAACGACTTTCCCAGGATCAATATATACACAGAGCACATTTTGAAGACTGACCAACCAAGACCAGCAGATGACCTTCCCTCGCCAAGTCACAGGTCAGCTCTACCCAGCTCCCCACCAAGGCCTGCCTTTCTCAATCCCAACACTCCCTCCCACTTACCATACTATCTAAAAAAAGGTAACCTCCCCCCATGTAGAAACAAAATTCCATTAGCACCCCTCCTGTGAGCAGATTTCATTCCGTCAGGGCAGACCGAGGAAGAAAAGCAAATAAAAATTGTTCCCCGTTTGTCGAAACTAACGCAATTAGCAAGTCAATTGACAACAAGAAAACTATGTTACAGCAAGAACGAGGCGAGATAAGACAGTCTTCACTTTGCACTGCATTTCGAAAAGACAACCATCCATCGAACCTTTAAACTGTTTAAAATGTAAACACAGCAAGAACAACTAATGCATTTTAAAAGCCAAAGGCAGACCACCAAAAGACCAGTAAAACATCCATAGTATGATAATCCTGTTAGGGAATTTGCCATGGAAACCGAGCAGTGCCAATGGCGTCAGAGTAACTGTCACACTTACGGCACGCGTTCCCCGTCCGACATAATGCCCGCTTTTGGGATCCCCCCAGAATGCACGTGTCCCATAGGATCGATCCCTATACTCCCAGCGCTGCTTTAGCCTTGTCTCTTATCACACTCACTCACCTCAGTCATTTTTTGTTGCCAACTTAACTACACAGACCATGGAGAATTAGGGAAGGGGGGGGTGGGCTTCCTGCTATTCCACTATAAACAAATGTCACCTCACAATTTCCTGTGCTGTGTGAGTGCAACACGGTCCGTGCGTGAAGGGAACTCGCTGACCGAAACACACGGCTTAGCTGAGCCACGGAGCCAGGCGATCGGCCAGCCAACCGAGAGCACAGCCAGACCCCCCACACTCCCCCCGGAGGCAGGAGAAGGCACACTCAAGCAGCTCATTCTGATTAATCAGCAGAAAGGAGGACGTGCGACACATAGGGACAACTAAGTACAGCAGAGCTGCATCACACCTAAAAAAATGAAAACCAAAAAAAAAAACGCTAAATAGGAGCAAAGTTTTAAACATAACCTAAATTATCGAAGTATTACAATCAGTGGCGAACATTTCAGATCCAGAAAGTAAAAATCCAAATCAGGATTTTGTTTCAACCAACCAGTTGGGCATAAACAGTCACAGTCACAGAATACTCAACTGGTTGGTTGAAACAAAATCCTGGTTTGGATTTTTTTACTTTCTGGACATGAAATGTCCACCTCTGATTACAATAGAGACCATGTGGGAAACCCAACACGAGCCGTGGGCTTAAACACCGCAAGCCAGCAGGGGGAGGGGGACAAAGGGCAGAGCTCCCCAATGCCTGGAGGGTATTTACCATGCTGTCATCCTCGTCACGTGGAGAGTAGGCCATGGTGCTTGAGGACGACGGTGTCCGACGGTGCTGCTTGTAACTACTGGAAGGTTCTGCTGGAAAATGGGGGAACGGGGCGACCTGTTAGATTTTAACATACCAAATTATTTAATACTCACACTTCAGAGACGAGAGACAATCAGAACTGACTCCTTCCAGGAAACTTCCCCACTGATATTCTTCCCGACTGACCTTTAGTGATCGTCGAAACTGCTGAAAAGGCAGGTCCAAATGTGGTCTCCATTCTCGTCTGTTTAGATGGAAAACGTAGGAAAGTCAGTACACAGGACCCAGTGAGGCACACGGAGAATGTCTGGAATCTGTTTAGGAAGCTCGGCAGTCAGATGCAGGATGCCCGACAGTGTTCCCAGGAAGCTCACCGCGTTGGCGCTGTCTGCAGAGGGGATACTGGCGTTGGCTACGGCTGATCCTCCAGAGAAACGGTTGTAGCGAGGAGTCTTACTAGAGCTCATAGTCCAGCAAAGCCTCCCAAAAATGAACAGCTGGAATCTGGGAGCGACAGAAACACCCCCGAAACTGATCACTTATCACATTAACCATATGCACACCACTCCTCTAGCCATAACACAATACCAAAAAATTAATTAAAAAAAATCACACCTAGCTAGTGACCACCTGTTTTTTTTTATCATTAACTGAAACTATTCTTTTTAAAACAAATATTAAGATATTGAGAACAAAAACATACACTATGGGTATATATTAATCAAAACACACAATTTACACACTTGGAACTGAACAGATCTGAAACTAACTCCCACTTAAGAGTACGGCCTTAACTGCATAAAAAAAGAAGTACAATAAATAATATACAGTCCGAGCCAAGAAACTCAGCAGACAGACACACTCTGCCGTTAAACAAGTACACAAACTTCCAGGCAGCCCCCACATGTCATGTGATCCGACGAAACACAGACAGCCCCCATCCCGAAGATCGTGGGCTTAACACCCTGCCCACATTCCATTATCTACAGAAAACTGGGGTCCCGACAAATAACTGGGCTGCGGGGAACTTATGTAACCAGCCGTCAGTACTGGAAATCAGTAGTGCCGAGTGTTTTTATTTGGAGAAAGCATATACGTTTAAATCGAGAACAAATGATAATTACAACACACCACCATGTACGGACAGCTGTAAGCCTAGGTCTTAAGTTAGGACAACAGCCCAAACATTTCTGATACCGCATCCGACAGCAAGATACCAAGTGGGGAAATACAACCCAGCTAGCCCGGTATTCACAACAATAAAACTGTCAGTCGGAGCTTGTTTAACTGTGCGAGATCCTATTAGCTTCACTGGATGTTTCAGCCAAGGTGGTGTTGAATTTGGCCGCACCGTGGTCGGTTACATTAAAACTAGCAGACAGTGACGTTAACAGCCAGCTAGGTGGCTGGCTGCCAGAGTAAACTGTGATAAATACGACGGCACGGTACAGGCTGAGGTTTCAGATTCCCATTTGCCTTCGCTTCTACGTTTACTGATGTGGGGCCGATCGGCGGCGTTTCGTGTCTAAAGTCACGGATCGCGATAAGCTAACGGGCTAACAGGCTGAGAGTGGGAGAAGTAACGTTGATTTGCCCACTGCAAGTCTGCACTAGCTAACTAGCTAACTAGCCAGCTGGGTATCCACCAAAATGCACCGCGTCCGTTAATACTGGCATTGACAAATGCTGAAAAGCTTCAGCCGCCTTCTCACGACTAATGTAGAAGGCTAATTGTCAAATTACTTACCAGCTAAGGAGAGAGAACTCAGTCCACCGCCGCGATCCACATCTTCCCTCGACTGTAAAGAGCGGCCAGATTTTCGGGAAACGATGAGCGGGGGATTCTGGGAATTGTAGTCGTCACCGATGTCACCGGGGCACGCTCCGCCGCGCATCGGCCCAGTCAGTCTGCCCGCACAGCAGGCGGCGCTAAACATTACTACTTCGCCCTAGACACACCGAGCCGCCTATCTGTATTATTGTTTGCTATGTGGCTTAAGCGGATCCTACGTGTAGTCTGTTTTCGCTGCACAGGAAGGAAAAATATAAATGAGATATTTCAAAATGAAATTTTCAATTTCTATGAAATTTCAATCTGGAAAATTGTTTGGCAGTACAGATAATGGTGCGCAAGAGTTTATTAACTTGACAAATTATTAGCCCTGATTTTTCATAGCCATACGCACGGCGTTTCTACGCTGCAGCCTTCTCTGATTGGCTGTTTAACTGTCCTATGAGCAACGTAAACCAAATTTCAAAGCAGTATCCCTTCGTCTGATTGGACAATGACTACCACTAAGAAAGGGACCTTGTTATAAAAGCCTGCATCGGAAGATTTTCGATCTTTTTCATAGAAATCGTGGTTAGGTGTAATTTAGCTTGTGATTTGTCTTAGTGATAAGTGTGCATAAATACGGAGTAATGGCTAATTCCTTCAACATAATTTATGTCGGACGCAGACGGTTCAATATTGTCAAGAAAGAGCACTAGCGTTGTATAATTTTCCGAAATGGTTGCGGATGAAGTTTTTTTTGTAGAAGTTTGCTAAGCTTACTCAAAAACTATGGATCCTTTCTCTTTCTAGAATATGAAGCTACTGATCAGTTCGTTTTGCGTAGGCTTTCTGATTGATCATCAATTGTAATTCCGTAATTGTGGTCTAATTGTATGACCTTACACGTGGGCGCCACGTGGCCTTGAACTGATCCTGTGTCAGTTGAATTTATTAGTTAAGCTTAACATTCTTGAGTAAGTTGCGAGATCAAGATTAGTTATCTGTAAATTAAACAACTAGGCTGTGACCGAGAAATCCAAGTTTCGGGATGTGGATTCCATGGGGACTTCAACGCCCGACAGCCGGTAAGTCTCGCTTGCCATTTCTTAGCTTCTTAAATGTTACTTTAATTGTTACTGAATACAGTTTCTCATGATCTACTAGATGAGGTAAAACTCCACCCATTTGAAGTCATTTGTTAATTTTATTCCCGATTCTTCCCTTTTGTCTTTCTAGCCTGCCTGGGTTAAGCTGTTTTGCGGTGTGACCCTTTCAGCGTAGTTTCACCATCCGAGGCTGGGTGCTGGCAGTCCAGGGCTGTGGTGAAGCTGCAGGTGAGACTTCAGTCTGTCGCTCAGTGTGCAGATCTTTCTCCTGTCAGCCGCTGATGAGTTTTCCAATCCATTCTGACACCTCGTATGAGTACTATAGTACTTTGATCTTAAATGCTCTCTGAGGCTTGTGCAGGTAGTTTATAAACAATCTATCTTCCATCGATGAACCAATAAGATGCGTACCTTTTACTTCTAGGTTTTTTTCCCCCCGGGAGTCAAGCCATAAACAATGTAAGTACTTCTGAACTTCGTGTCTGATCGTGCAGCGTGAGTTGCTGATGACTGATGCATTCCTATATCTCATACATAAACGGCACAGCTTGGCCGGCTGTGATTGAAACTGAGGTTCCAGTCGTCTTGTAATATCAGGGTCTAGCTGGTGATTAAAGCGGCACTTTCCTTCAGGTGTCTTGGGTGTGGAGCACGAAAGGCTTTAGTTCCCGGGAAGACCCTGTACTGATCATGTGGCGCCTCCCGTACTGTGCATCTGAACAGGCTGCATTTCCAATTTGAAAAGGCAGATGGCGCCGTTTGCTCATCCGTAAAATGTATGCGTTACGTCTCCCATTCTGTGGTGTTGTCCAGGGGTAATAAATTATAATAAAGCTCTTTGGGGCGTTTGTCCAAATTCAAACTTGTCAGTGTCTGAATACTGTACCTTTTCCTTACCGTTTTGTGCCATATTGTATTGCCTCATCTGTTTCCAAGTGTGACTGTTGAATGCATACGGTGTCTTATGGTTCTTTATTCATGAGGAATTTTGGCTTAAAATTAAATGCAGATTTTCAGCCAGTGTGACTCTGACTGATCGATTTCAGCGTTTGAGCATTAATTCTGTTTCTCCGTGCGTCGCTGCGGAATCTGCAAACCGGCACGTCTGGTATCTGCTGTCAGCTGGCGTGTCAAGCTTGCTGAACCTAATGGGCCTGAAAGCAGGCCTTTCCATTATGGCCAGGCACTTTCTTGGCCTGCTGACCCCATCACAACTGTTAGTAGGAGCGTATGTTGCTTTCGCACGGTGGAGGCTTCATGTAAATGATCCATTAGCGCTGAGGCCGACACTAACGTGGCTTCTGGTTGAGACGCAGTGATCTTAATGCTGTTTTGCCTTGGGATGAAAGGGAACAGATGGCATTGTTGAAATGCGCTGTGGTTTGAGTGCTGGAGTATTCACTGTACTGGTCAATGCTTTTCCAAATTGCCCCTGTCTCTCTCTGCTGTGGCTGTCCTCAGCTTTGTACAGTGAATCCCTGGTGGAAGCAAAGGCCAGCAGTATGAAAATCTGTCCCTTCAGCATAGTGATGGGGGGGGGGAATGAACACAGAACAGGCCTGAGTGTGAGATCCAGCAAAAACGCGTTGCTATGCAGTTGCCTGTGCTTGATTGTGGATGTTGGTCCAGAGACTTTCTGTTTGCATCTGTCTCATTAATGCCACCTGTGGTGTTGACAGGTATTCTGTTGATTTGATTACATATGCCTGCAGATACATTAACCATTAATCTATAGCTGCTGTAAATTATGTGCCTGACTGCCAAAGTGGTGATTGGCTGTCGACTTTTTTTTTTTAAATGTACAGTCAGCAAACACGGCAGTGAGATGCATTTTGCATGTGTGTGAATGAAAGTGCTGCTCATACTTTGGTCATTTTGCGTGATGGTATCTTAACGGCAAGTCTTTCTGCCCATGCAATAAATATGTGAATATTTGCCAGTTATTTATATGGGTTAGGCTGTAATATGTAAGTATGATCTCAGATGGCTTATTTGACCTGTTAGTTGTCCTAGTTTCCTTCTCAAATAATGAGACCTTTTGTCTTGCATTCTATTCATCCAGGTCATGTTTACAAAAACCCTCAACTAATACCAGTTCATTGTAAAGAAAAAAAAAAAATACACACATTCCTGGTTAAATCTTTGACATATGCAATATTTAACACTTTAGGTGTATTTTTTAAACAAAAGCTTCAGTTTTAAATGCCCGGAGTCCAGGTGCTAGGTAAGCAGCTTGAAGATGGATTGATATTTAAATGTAGATTCTCATATATGAATTGGTATCAAAATGCTAACATGAAGTCTAAAAGTTAATGGCTTAGTGTTTAGCATTACGGTAATCTTGAGGACCTTAGTTGATGTGATGGTTTAAATTGATAGCTGGTAGTGTCATTCCTGTGGTTGAAAGATGGAGGGGTGGGCTATGGTAGCATCAAAGCGTGCAACAGGAGAACATATTTTGAATGGTCATTTAAGGTGTTTGAGTCACAGGGAGTCGGGCAAAATCCACTTCTGCCCGCTGAATTTGACTGTCGAATGTCCTGCAGGTAAATGGTGTATTTGAGATTTGCATGGCCTCTTACCAGCAGCATGCCTCTGCTGTCATTTCCATACAGGTGCAAATTGGCCATCAATCACTCTTTCTGAGCCGTGACCTCCACCTGACCAGTGCTGTTCCTGATAAATGTAATGAGTGAATGAAAATTCTTTTTTCAGTTCACTGTATCTTTACATAGCACCTTTCACAACAGACTCTCCCTAAGGTGCTTTACATGGGTGTGTAGCGCATCACTGCACTATTTATACAGGATAATACAATGCTGACATTATAAAACAAAGAATTGACCTGCTTGTGAGACGCAAGCTGAACACTGGTCATGTTCAAAGCCAAAGTCCATCGATGAGTCAGTTCTCCATTTTTGCTGGTGTGAGGTGGCAGATTGAAGGCTGCACCCACAATGTCATACTTTGTAAATCACGTTGATGGTGTCACACTTTGGGACTGAACCAGCACTTCTGCTCAGATGGTCGGTCCCACCCCCCCATGACACAGCAGAGAGATGTGGGCAGACCTCCCAACATGATAGTCATCAATGATACTGCTAACTCCTGTAGTAACTCAACACTCAGTCCACCAATCGGAAGTCGGCTGTGCTTTTTGCATTCAGCATTTATGTGTATATTATTATTAAAGGAAAAAGCTTTATGGGTCCATTTCATACAGACAGCCAGAAGACATTATAGTACAGCCAACTGTTTGAGGATGATCATGAGCATAAGCTGGTAGCATATTGAATGACATTGTTCATGGTAAACAGTGATATAAAAGAAATGTGGGACAGGTGCAAGGCACAGTATTATTTGAATGTGGAGGCCATGAAGCATGCATACATCTACCAACCCCATGCAGTACATGGTCATCGAGGACCTGGACCACATTCCCGGCAGCAGAGGGGACACAGTAGGGTGAGTAGCCAGTGCATCGTAGGGCACACATGCAATGTGCAATTCAGTCAGCCTATGGCTTATATATTATATACAATGGCTTTCAAAAGTCTTGAATCATCCCTTACAGTTATCAAATTAGCCTAAAATACAAATAATATATACACATTCTGATACACACAGTATTTGTTCAAATTCGAAATTATTTGTCGAGTCAAGTAATTCATAAAGCTTTATTATCTCAGTCATGTACAATGTATAGTGAAACAAAATAATGTTGAACACAATGCGACATTCGTGACAGGATAGATATACTGATAAAGATAGACTGGATAGTCATTGCAGTACTAAAGACAGCAAATCAAAGAAAATCAAAAATCTAAAACATACATATTTAATACTTGATGTATAAATTAAATACAGCCTACTCAATATACTTACTGTATACTAATTTCAATACTTACGCAACTAAAGTTAAGTTAGATGACGCCCTATAATACTGTAAAGGAGCTGGAAGGTACACGTGAGTGCACTGCCGCCAAAGCTGCAAACATAAAACCGCGACTGGGATTTTCAGAAGTATATTTAGCTGCTCTAAATCGTAATAGAAAAAGGCATCGGTGGCCGGGTCGTGGCTCCGAATGCCTGTCATCGCCACCTGTGCCACGGAGGAGTGAGTGAGAGCACGCCCCCTGGCGGTAGATAAGCTGCCATCACACGGCTCGCCCCCAGGACGCGCACACGCACTGGGCGTCTGTATTAGCGGCTCGGGCAGCGCTCGGTACCGCCGACACACAGCATCCAGCCTTTCCTCTGGACCCCAGCTCTCCTGCAGACATCACATTCAAAACGCTGGCTCCCTTACTGATGCAATAGCAATCCTGATTTTATGGTATTCGCATCATCCACAGTACTGGTGGAATACCGGCAAAAATAGAGCATTTTTTCCTTCAAGTCATTTTTTTCCGGACTCGAATAACCTGGAAAAATTGGAAGTGCCTCTAGGACACGGAGTACTTTCTGAAGAAGACGGGCAGCTCTGCCGGCGTTCTCCCGCAGCAGATTTCCGATCGGCAAGGTAAGGGATAACGGCAAAAAAGGAAGGTGGAATTAAATATTTGCTCTTCTTGGCATCTTATCCCCCACGTCTGTAGATTGTATTATTACTGCACCGAATTTACGAATTTAGCAAAATAGGAAGTTGTGCGTGGAATTAAAGGTCTATACGATGGTCACCGGAAAATATTTGCAATAATTTCGCAGTTGGATTCATTTGGCGTGGTTTTCTGAAAGCTGTAGCACTGCCTTCTTAGACTCCCTGCGTGATTTTCACCGATAACACTGCCAGTGTTTAAACATTCGTTTTTCCCCTTTTTTCAGGAGAAACACTGGTGTTTTAACATAGTGGATGACTAAACCACGCTTTTGATACATTATCATAATAAAATAAAACCAAGCACTATTTCCCCAATGCTGTGCTGCGTCCAACAACTCCAGATATTGCAAGATCATGCTCATCGTTCCTGGCTTCCATATGGTTCACGGAAATAGACCCACATATATTCGACATCATACCGTACTAATATTTATTTAAAGCTCTCGTCAGTTTTCAGACTGAAGGCGTGAGTAGAATATGCGATATCCATGTAATTTAAGGCTTGACTTACTCGGGCCACTTTTGAGAAATCAATGAGTATTAAAATGATTGCACTTTACTATAATGTTACCACTGTTTTCAGTACTTGTTAAATAAGTGTCTAATTTATTGAATAAACTTAAAGTCTTTCGAGAGCACATGCAATTTAGTTTGCTGTAGTTTTGAGTCACCTAGACTATATAAAATAAATTTTATGTTGTAGTTTCAGTGATATATCTTTTAGGATTAATACACTTTTTTCCGCCTCAAAATTTCCTTGCTCATACAAGTTTAATTATTAGGATACGTATAAATGAATGATGTTGGGAGTGTAAGCAAGGACCATACGGTCTACAGCCCACAACAACGATAAGGAAAGGGAGTCAGCATCGGTCATCATGCATTGGTGAATAAAAGCCATATCTGGGAGCTGCATCAGTACAATCATTCACCGTGGTAAAAAGTAAATAGCAAAACAGAGGGTAATTAGTTTGGCCTGAGATTTGTGCACAAATCAGTAAAATTCGCGACGTGCCCTCTCAGCTACGTTTATGGCTTCATGAACATTAAAATCCTCCATCTGGACAGAGGGATTCGACGAGCATTTTGTCGAGGCTGAAGTCGGCCCTCCTCTTTGGAGGAACGGATTGGTGACCTAAATTGTGGGACGACCCATTTCTCATCTCGGTCTTGCCCTGCAACGTCTCCCCAGGCTTCACGTCTACCCTAAAAAATAAAACTCACCCCACTATGATGGCTCCCCCCGGCCAAAAATGATCTGAAATAAAGCTACACAGGATCCAGGGCCTTAAACGGAGAGTGGCCCCGGAATTCAAATTTAATGGGAATTTATTCAGGTGCTTAAAAGGAAATGGGTTCATGAAAAATGAAACTGGCCCCATTTAATAACTAAATCCTCATATATGGATTTTTTTAATCTTTTGAAATATTTCCACCAATAATCTGTCGAAATGCAATATGTCAAGTTTCAACAAAGTTCAGTTGCTTCTCCTGTGTTCTTACATGACAGTGTCGTTTGAGATTGCTGTGAAATCTCAGAATAATGTGTATCCTCCATTTCAGCGAATAGGGATGTCTCACACATGGTTTTCCTCTGACTATGCAGAATGAAATCTTATTCCACTCTGATTCCTTAAAGTGTGCCACTTTATGCAGAATGCACTAAGCAAATCAGCAAAGGAAATACAAGCCTGTAAAGATCCAATCAGCGGCATCGGGTCATTCTACGCAGGACACCCGTGCGCCGTTCTTACTTTCATTGCGCTCGTGTGCCCAGCAGTCCCGTGGTGAGCGAGCCCACATACGACTGCCGTCATGGATGAGATGGACCTGCCCCAGATGAAGAAGGAGGTGGAGAGCCTCAAGTATCAGCTGGCCTTCAAAAGAGAGAAGTCCTCCAAAACTGTCACCGAGTGAGTGTCTCTCCTGACTTGCTCTTTTATCTAGCAGAAACTTGCACCAAGAAACCGGGCCGGGCTACACGTGCGGATCAGCAGGGTAACAGACCATTCTTAAGGGCCCAACAGAGATTTTTGCAGGACACAGGATTTGTACTCACAATCTTCCAGAGATGGGTGCAGATCCCTTACCACCTGAACAGCAGATACGCATTTCTGATTGCACGTGTAAGTGTGCATACGCTCATGAAGGCCTGAGTTCCTGATTTCTGACCTGAAAGGTCTTATTTCACTCTGAGCATCGCAGACATTAATCTTACACATTTGACTTGGCTACTGACTAATGTCTATTCAAATGACACCTTATTACCATAGTCAGTGTGGCGCTTTACCACATCAGCACCTGCCCCGTCCCATTTCCGTACCGTCGTGCTCCGGCCTCACACCCCCGCATGGTGGCCTTCGGCTCCGCCCCCTTCACCACGGTAACCTCCGGCGCTTTCTCCACTGGCGTTCCGGGAGGGCTGCTGCTGACCCATTTGTCCAAATAGGGAATCTTCTCGCAGGTATGGGATGTTCTTAGTGGGTCGATAATGGGTTATGCAGATTCCCTCTGTATCCTGCCACTGTGCCCAGCCAGTGAAATCAGCTGCCACCCAGTTGCGATAATTAGCTCTGGGGTTTCATGACCCCACGAGTGACAGATGAGTCTTGAGCTCCCCCCCCCCAAAAGATTAGGATAATGAGCATGAGAGTCCATAGTGCAGCACCCTTTGTGAGCCCCCCTGCCCCCCCCGAGCATAGGTTCTGTGCCCTTATCAGAACCCGGCTTACTGTTACATAACTCTAAGGTCACGACCATCTAATTTTATCATGAATTTGTGTCATTCAATACAATACATTCGAAGGAACTTGAAAATGTCTACAGGCAGCAGGTGGCGCATTGGTTAAGGTATTGGTTTTGTGTCCAAGGTTACATGCCCAGTGTTAGGATCCAGGCCATCCTGGGAGTGACAAGAGATACCAGTGAAGTCATATTGTTGTAAAGCAATTTGTTGCACAGATCAAAGTACAGGAAACACATTCAAGCAATGAGCAGGCTAGAGAGACACATTCAGGGGTCATTTCAGGCAGGGAGACAGAGGTGTCCTACTTTGTATTTTCTGAGGTTATGTATTAAATGTCTGCTAGTACAAAATATCTGTGTGTTTGCAGGGCCGGCTCTAGCTACAGGCAGAATAGGCGGTCGAGTTACCTGTGTTGCGAAATGATCATCGGTTTTCTTGATAAGGGGGCCGCCTAAGTAAAGTGTTGCCTAGGGCCCCTGAGAAGCTAGAGTCGGCCCTGTGCGTGTGTGTGTGTGTGTGTGTGTGTGTGTGTGTGTGTGTGTGTGTGTGTGGACTCACGATGGCCGATCTCTCCTTCCATCGCCAATCTCTCCTGCGCCTCCTCCTGGCCGTCACTCCTCCACGCAGCCTGGTGAAGTGGATCGAGGACGGGGTGCCGACGGACCCCTTCCTGAACCCTGAGCTGATGAAGAACAACCCCTGGGTGGAGAAGGGCAAGTGCACCATCCTTTAACAGCCGGGCACTGAGATAGCAGCCCTGTCCGTCCGCCGAAACCTGGGCTCTGGCCACCGTGCTGCCTGTCCTGCCCCCCCAGGACGCTTACCCCCTACCCCCCTGAGTGTACGCCGCCCAACGGCATTGTTGTATAGTTACTGCGAGACACCCCTCCCCATTACTCTTATATACTCTTAATACTCCCATATATGCAGTTTGATCTCGACTTTACTCTTTTTGCCGCCTGTGACTTTAAGACGTAGAGCAGCGGATCCACGCTGGTGGTTTTCCTGCAGCCTGATGCATGCAATGTGACAGCAAATACTACACTAATGGAGACAGTTTTTTACATAAGTACAGCTGCCGACTATTAGGGTCCGTTAATTTATTTTATTTATATGTGGATTGTTAAATCACTCGTGGGTTTGGTGTGTTTTAGATGATAAACTTTCTATCTGGTTTCCTCTCGCCTTTTCTAACACCTGTAACCATCGGAAATGGCCTTGTAAAATAGTTCCTTAAGGAGAATGTTAATGTAATAGGTTAGGCTGCCGTTAGCAAGCTCTGCACTGTTCCGTGTGCGTGTCCGTGTGCTCGTATGCGTGTGTGTGCGTGTTGGGTCGAGACAGAGGTCGTCCCCTGGCTGAGATGCTGAACTGCACGATCCATTTGGTGATGGCACTTTTAAACTAAGGCAACAACATGATTTTATGTTCCTTTTACTTATATGTCTTACATGCATATGTAACCTGTTTGTAAAACATATAGTTTATATAAATATATTTAAAAACTACTGATATATCTGTTTATCTCTAAATATATTTGAGTGCTTTGATTAATTATGCATAAGATCATGTACTAGTTCAACGATTATGAGCAATAACTAACATTTTTTATGGAATGTTTTACAAAAATAAGTTTGTGATATCGAATAAATTGGTGGTTTTTAGAGAGTTTGAGACTTGATTATTATAACTTGTGTACGATCAGCTGTAAATGATTGAAGTGAAATAAGAACAGAACAGTGTTGAACTTTGCCAGTTTCTTCCCGTTAGACAACGTTCCCTTCCATACATTGATGAACCACACATGATGTCACCTGAGGCAATCATGTGACCCTCCCATTCCTTTCCCAAGACCCAAGTTTCTCCCACACTCATCTTTCCTTTCTTCCTTCCTTCCTTCTGTCACTTTGATGTTTCTTTTCCACACCCCAAAGCCACACAGCAGATGAATATGAAATTAATATTCATGAATGATGATGCAGGTTACATTCTTGATCCCCAGTTCACTTTGGCATTTGCAGTGCTTAAATCATGCTGCTCTGAGTCCAGCATGCAGGCCACTACCCTGCCCTGTACCTGCCCCATGCCCCGCCCCTTTCCCCGCCCACTGTCCATCCCCCTGCCCCCATGCCCCGCCCCTTTCCCCACCCACTGCCCCTCCCCCTGCCCTGTACCTGCCCCATTTCCCCGCCCACTGCCCCTCCCCCTTCTCTGACACGAAATCCTCGGCCCATGACTGCGAATCCGGCCTTAATAACCAGAGCACTCAGCCTCCTCTGAGCTACATTAACAAATCATCAGCAGCACAGTGAAGGAGAAGCTGGCTATGAAATTGTGGTTTACCAGGGTGCATTAACATGCCCACATTCGCAAGCGGGGGGCCCTTGATAGGAGAGGTCTTCTCCAGGTTACCCAGCTTCTATTACCCTCTGCTCTTGTGGAGGAAGGAAGCTTGGCGACGTGGCACATTCATCCACTAATGAGCCAAAATGAGATATTCAGTCCAATTTATTTCTACATTGCAACTTTCCCAACTTAGTCTCCCCAGCTGAAGGCCATCACACCATCCACAGGTCATTTCTCTGTCCAGGTTTCTGCAGGCTAGTCTCATCCCTCTATCTTGAAGAAAATGTCATCATATAAAGGAAATCCAGGATGTGCCCAGGAATCAGACGTACATTGGCCCAAGTCCACGAAAGGTTGCTGGCCATTACATTTTACATTTTATTTATCAGATGCTTTCATCTGAAGCTACGCACATTTTTCAGGAAGCAGGGTCAGCCCTGCGATGCTAGACCACATACACACGCACACACACACACGCACACACACACACGCACACACAACACGCACATACAGAGCTTTATGCATGACCCATCTCTGCAAAACAGACGACTACTCAACTGAGAAAAGCAGCCTTGGACCGAGGCTGTTTGTTTTGAAGGGCTCAGCCATGTTAGGACGTGTAAAGCGTGTAGAATGTGAAAAAGCAGCCCTCTAAGGAACGCCATTGTGGCAAAGTCGAAAGGCACAGCCGAGGCAACGCTTGGCAGACTATCCCTCAATGCCTTGCGAGAAACACTCAACATTCCTGTCCAAGAGGAGGTGTGAAGCCAAAGAGTCACTCTCGATTAATTATATTTACTTTTAAAAGGATTTGAAAATGTATTTTAGTTAAATGTTGTATATTTATGTATTGAAGTATTTTTATGTGGTATGTGGGACACACGCAGAGATAACCAATGACTGACTTAAACATTGCCTCTCAATCTGTCACAATCTATCAAACACTTATAATGAACTTTATAATGAGTGGACACACACCAGCACTGCTTCAGTAATTATCTTCAGGCTTCCATGAGTGGTGTTTACTTTAGCCAGTAAAAAAAACATTCTTTTCATTGTTCAGGTAATATACAAGAACATAGATAATGAGCCTATAATACAAATATAGAGAATTACTTTTTATATCACCAGGGTCATATTTCTCATGTATATTAAGATAATTATTGTCTGTCCAGCCGACCTTTTTCAGTAATTCTAATGAAAATTAGTGAACAACGTATTAAAAAAATGAATCTCCAGAACTCTGGCACTGGAACACCTAAAATGCAGGTCCATATCCAGGCATTTTTTCACACAGCTGTCCTGCATATCCAACCCATGAAGGTCTCACACAATTCCGAGAGGCAGCTCTTCCCAGAAACAGACAGAGATCTGAAATTAGTCATGCCATAAAAAAAAATACTATTCTCACAAATTTTCAAAACCTGGTGAAAACCTCAGGATGTGATGCAGCAGCTGAGGCGAGGCGCAGTGACTGCCTCGGCGAGGCCCAGTGACTGCCTCGGCCGGGTCGTCCGGGATTTCCGGGCCCGTCTCCGAGGCTCCGGCCCTATCTGCATGCGGCCGGGGGGAGCAATCTCACATTAACCTGATTTTTAGGTCACGCTTGGATTAGGTTCAGAAATTCCACAATATCAGTGCAGCGTTTACCTCACCTCCACTCACTGCAGTGCCCTCCAGCCCTCTCTCTCTCTCTCTCTACCGCTTGCCCTCTCTCTCGAGCTCTCTCTTACTTCTTCTCCCTCTCGTCCTCTCTCTCACTCTCTTTCTCTTTCTTGCTTGCTCTCTCTTGATTTCCCTCTCACTCTCTCGTTCACTCTTTTGATCCACAGCATCTGACCCCACCTCTAACCACCACCCTACCCCCACCCCAGTATCTGTGCAATCGGGCCCACGCGGGATCAAGGAGACAGAGCCACCTGCTTTATTAAAGTAGTCTCTTGGACCTCGGCCAGGAGTGGCATTAACATGTTTGAAGTTTTCCTGTAGAAGAACAGACAGCCTCCCAGACTCCATTAGGGGCTCCAACGTAAACCTGACAGGAAGTCATCTAATAACACTTTATGAATTATCACGCAGGGGCCAAAGGATACCTGATGCAGCAGACTGGGGGGGGTGCTGTCACTTCCTGGCTAGGGCCCCACGTTTGTTCCCAGTCCGTCGAGGTGCCCGTTCCCGTTTTCCAAGCGCTCCTGCTGAATCGTAGCTCACCTGCACAGCGGCGGACAGGGCTGAGCAGGAAGCAGTGGCTGGGTTAATACACACCTGCATATTCTCACCGTTTCAGCATCTGTCTAACCAGCCGGGGCCGTTCTGATGCTTAGCTTGCGAAAAAAAATCAAACAGTGCAATAATTCCCAATACCTTCGCTCCCCAGCTCTGACATGAAGTCATGCTCGCTTCACGGCAGCTGTGATCTCACGTTTAATTAGACGATTTTGCAGTTATCCAGGAAACGCTTACATCCAAAGAAATGTATGTTTTTTATGAAAGAACGGTGAGACAATCATTGGAGCAACTGGGGGGTGGGGGGTGGGGCAAGGAATTTATTCAGGGGCCCAACAGTGACATCACTCAGCTGACTGGATTTGACCCAGCAACCTTCTGCTTGCAGGCACAACGCTCTAACCTCCCGAGACACAAATCCCTCAAATTATGCGCTGTAATGGACTGGCATCCTGTCCTGCGAGTCCCCTGCCTTGTGCCCTGTGTTTCCTAGAATCAACTCCAGACTTAATGTAACCCTATACCAGATACATCGTTACAGAAGATAGATGGATGGAAGGATGGAGTCCCAGATATGGACCCCCTGCTCGTGACATGATAGTGGTGCGTGCTTCTGAAGTGTTTTTGGGCCAGCTTTGAAGGCCGATGTGTTCAAATGGGGCAGGATGTGTGCTGAGGCTGTAATGGCTGGCAGAGAGAGGCAGAGCTGTGTCGACAAACAAACAGCCTCGGATCGCCCGTCGGGACTCATTACTCACCTGCCCTGGTTCACGGGAGTTTAAGGTTTTCCTCCTATACACGTCCCTATGGGAACAACCCCCCCCCACCCCCCACCCCCACAAAAGTGTGCCTGGGGCCTGGGGACCATCACCGCCCCAACAACCAGTCGGGTTGCCAGCTCTCTGAAGCCCAGCCTGGTATTGGGGAGAGACCTCTAAAAGAACAGGGGAAAGGCAACCGTGAGTGTGAAGTGAAGTCACTGAACCCTGGTCACTCCCTGTTCCAGTGACAGGGGGCTTTGCATCACTGTCATACAGTTCACGACTGCAAACCAAGCTTCCACCATAATTTTGCTCCCTCTGCAATCAATTTCCAGTTATACGATATGGTGGCTAACGTTAACACTCAGTCCGGGTCCGTTTGCTTCTGGTTTCACCTCTCACGCTCGCGCACGGTTCACGCTCGCGCACGGTTCACGTTCACACATTTTATGCTGCCATTAGTTTGCGTGGCAGCGCTTCATGACACGCTGATGTTCGCTTAGGGGGCAAGTCACCCCCTGGCCTGTGTCTCCAAGGTAATGGCCTGTATCACTGAGCCCTTAATTAGATAAGTGGAAATCAAGAAAGGAAGCCAGGACAAAGCTTTAAGGTGTAACATCTCGTTCATTACTCGCCTCAGGGCGCTTTATATCGGTCTGTGGTTTTTAGCTGCTGGAGATTTTTTTTTCCAAATCCCCAATAAATCTAAGAGGATAGTCAGCCATCTGTCTGATGCATCTGGGGCAGGCCATAGAAACTATTTTTAAAAAGCAAAAAACTAAACAAACACCATTATGTTACAATTCTGAGTGAAAAAAGAACAAGGCAACTAGCAAGAGTACCCGTTATCCATCCATCTTCCATAACCACTTTTCAATGAGCCTGAGCACGAGGCAGGGGGACACCCTGGACGGGATGTCTGTCCATCACAGGGCACGAGGCAGGGGGACACCTTGAAAAACTCGCATGGCAGGTATATGCATTCACACACTAGGGTGAGAAACTGGCTCAACAAGAATATGTCTTCTTACCCAGAAAATAGCCACATGAATGGACACAGAGGGAACATGGGAGTTCAATGTGCACACAGAGTCAGGGTGAGAAAGGAGCCCACAGCCCCAGAGGCTGGTAGCTGCTGTGGGCCGAGGCGCTGGCCTGGATTACGGCAGCCTGAAAGCCCAGATCCATCTCGGAGGCGGCAGCGAGGGGGGAGAGGCAGTAGCGGCATCGCTATCAAGCGGGAGCATATCGTGCTCTTAAGAGCCGGTGCCGCGTTACATGCTTTTAAAGGCACGCTCACTTCCCAACAGCGTGTGGAGATGAGACGTCCCCCGC